GAGTTGATGATACAATGTTCTCTGAAATTGAGGGCATAGTGAATAGTGTCAAATGCTCCTGAGATGTCAGGAAGGACTGAGTTTGGGACATGGACTTCACTGGTGATCTTAGTAAATGCCCCTCTGGTGGAAAGATGAGGACAGAAATGAGATTGATATGGGAGAAAGAGTAAGCTGGGCATGAGAAGAATATAAGTGGTGGAGAAGAGTACATATCTAGCTATGAATGAGAGATTAGAATTGTTTCTATTAATGTAGACAAGAAAATATCTGAGCACACTTTAGTTGTTTGCTGATGTTTTTAGTTGTTTAGTTGTTTTAGATGTTGAAGAAGTAAAATTTTTAAAGACTGGGTTGAGCTTAGAAGCAAGAAGAGAATGAAGGTTAATGAAGATTGGGAAGATATGATAGAGAGATGGGTTTGTTTTGGGTCAGATACAAGAGGGGTAGTTTTCCATTTATAACAAGAACAACGGTAGCATGTGTGTGTGTGTGTGTGTGTGTGTGTGTGTGTGTGTGTGTGTGTATTACATATATATGTAGATGTGAGGACTGTCTTGCACAATATAATATCTAATAGCTTCAAATTTCTCTGTGAATTAAAATAAAAGATTTTCCCTTGAGAAAGACAGGTTTGGAGTTGGTGGATGTGCTTGGAGTAAAGTAGGGACAAAATCATCTAGGGAGATTGAGCTGAACAAGATCATGTTGTTGGGTCATCGGGCATTGGGGGTGAAGTGAATATTGGTTAGGATGAATTATGGGAATACAAATATGCCTGGTTAGGAAGCATCTTTCCTTCATGTCCTAGAGTGCTTGTTATGTCGGTGAATCTAGAAATTGAGTTTTGCATTTTTAGGTGATGGAAGGCCAGTGGAGCAAGGGCACGCCAAATATGTGTAAGAGAGTGCTTGACGTGATAAATCAGAATTTAGCTTAGAAAAGAGGAATGCAGTGACAAGGGGATACTGAATGAAATGAGTGAAAAAGAAAGTGCCCTGGAGGGCTCGAGGTTGTTGAGAAACTAACTACGTGTGTGATGTAGGAGGCAGGTGAGTTCTAACTTACAGTACTTCAACATCCCACCCCAGAATCAAGTACTCAATTTATAGTAACAAGATAAAGCATCCAAGAGGTGTTATATTAAGTTTAGGGCAAAGGTTGGGGTGAGTGAGTGACAACCGGTAAACTTGCTGCAAAATGATCACCACAATATGTCAAGTTAAAATCCATCACCACAGGATTGTGAATTTTTTCCTTGTGATGTGAACGATGAAGACGTAGGCTCTTAGCAAGTTTCAAATACACA